GGGGGGGGGGGGGGGGGGGGGGGGGGGGGGGAGGAGAAGTGCTGTTAATCATAGTTATAAAATAGAAGCACCAGTCGTTTTTTCAGTCCGCTTCTTCATCAGAAGAACTACTGGACGAATGGCCACCAGCTTATCAAAAGGAATGGTACGGATTAATTGACCCAACCTATCAGCTTGCTATGTCTGGTGAGTGCATTTTCCTCAGTTATTTTTATGAGTTTTTGTACAGGTCAGAAGTACGCATCTGCGTTCGAGTAATTCAGCTCAAGAATTTCGCAAACTGGGGAGCGTTATCTCGGCTATAAACTGCATATACTCCTTATTTAGCAGTGCAGTCACGAAACTGCGTAGGCTCCCTGCTTTCGCGTAGTCGAGAAATGTTTGATTTCAAGAACCGGTGAAATGACGAATTTAAATTGTGATTTTTTTCGTCACTGGATTTTGTTTTTTTTTTTTTTTTTATGACTCATTTTTCCATGATCGGTTTTGCAGGTCCGACGTTTGAGGTTATTTTTCATGAATATCCGGAGCTGTTACACAAGTTTATCACCGTATGTGATGTTTTTGCACGCATGTCACCCGATCAGAAGCAGCTGTTGGTGAATAAGCTTCAGGAAGTTGAATATACCGTCGCTATGTGTGGCGATGGTGCAAATGATTGCGCTGCCTTAAAGGTTTACCATTTTGAGATATTATTTTAGGCATAAGGCGCCTTTCTGTCTCCCTTGCCAAACAGTATTGAGGCTACTTACACTCCCTTTTTAAAACATGAGGCAGATGGATTGAGATTGTGCCACCGTTATGCGATGACTTCAGTTTTGAAGTCGAATTTATCTATTTTTTTTAGTCCCGGCCCTTTCTGAATATTTTTGCAGTGTTTTTTGGTGGAATTATCTGTGGCTTTGCTTCCTTATAGCCAGAACAAATTTTTTTCGCCTCTGATTTGGGTGGATAAGTTATGCTTTACTTCATAGCCGTTTTATGTTACGTTTTAGGCGGCACACGCTGGCATATCATTGTCCGAAGCAGAAGCATCAATTGCAGCACCTTTCACATCACGAATCCCCGACATTCGATGCGTCCCAATAATAATTCGTGAAGTTATGCTTTTTATTATGGAATGCTGGGCCTAAATTCTTCTGCATGCCGATTTGGCGGCTCTTTGCTTAAAATGTTCTCAGTGCGACAGTAGGGAAGTCTTTCAGGAGGAAATCTATCAACAGCTACGAGTACTTGTAGTTCGTTGAAATGTTATTACATGGTGAACTGAAGAGTGCTTCTGCGCAGTAAAAAATCATGTTGAAAGCAGTCTTACTAATGCTAAACATGAGCACTGCGAATGCGAAGATACAAGCAGTGATTGTTATGGGTAGGAGACGGATTGGAATTCTTCATGACCATTTTTAAGCTCTCAGATGCTTCTCACGTCAAGCGTTTTCTCATATTTTTGTGTAGGATATCATCACAATTTTGATAGAAACATAGTGGTACCTGCTGGACGCAAACTAAGGAAAGCAACGCAGGAACGAATATCTGGCTTAATGTCCTAGTGGCTGTTCCCTGAGTTACTTGCTGCTTTGTTTCGGTGAGGTCGAAAACTTCTCAAATTTGGTCTGGTCGATTTTCATTGTACCAATGCTTGTTAATATTCTTAAGCTTGTAAAAAATTGTCAAATTTAATGAATTTCGTAATATTAAATTTTTTTTTAGGACGAGCAGCATTGGTGACATCGTTTGGAATGTTCAAGTATATGGCAGGTTATTCGCTTACCCAGTTTATTACGGTTCTTTTGCTGTACTGGCTTAGTGGCAATCTCACCGATTATCAGGTTACACCTTTTTAACATTTTGCAGTTGTATGATTACTGAAACTTTACTAAACAGTAGAAAATTCGCATTAAAGTAGAGTGAAGTAGCGCAGTTAGAAAGGACGTGCTAATGAAAAGGGAGCCAAGGGGGTCCGTGTTATGCGTGTCGTCGTTCTGGTGTCGAGTTCGTGCTGGCGTTAAAACTGTGTTTATTCTGGGATAACGCTGCCTTATACAACAAAATGAAAGCCACACCTCCCCGATCATACAGGCTGACCCGGGGGTAACAAACAAAGCCCAGACAAAGCCGGGATAACATGAACAAGGAAGCCTGGCACCATCACAAAGAACTGGTGCTGCTTCTCGGAACATCTGGGGGCCATATTTGCGTCCGATCAGCTCGTAGTATCGGCACTTCCATTAATCATCATATTTGAAAAAAGACGAATTTTTGATCTTTAAATATTGCCAATTTGCATTTTTACATCTAGGGACCATCTCTGGCCCCTTGCAGTAGTGTTTCCAGAGCACTTATCGTGTTTCTTTTAATTTACTGAGGATGGCATTGCTTTTGCAGTTTGTTGACTCTTATTTTTATTGCTAAACTCGCCTGGTATTAGCCACTTTCAGTTTGCTTTTTTCATCAAGCTTTTTCATGAGAGAAGCCAGCGCCGGGAAGCGTTGCCGTGTTTGCTTGCTGTTGTTGGTTGCTGCTTCGAAAAAGCGGCGTATATTTGATGTTTTACTGTGTGAATTGGGAGCACCTGCGCATGCGAAGAGTAGAGATGAGTTTTGCAGATGAAACAAATCGGGTTTTATCTGCTTCCAATGTACTTTCACTGTGCTTATTTGTAGTTTCTGTTCATTGATTTGTTCCTGGTGACAGCGGTGGCTGCATGTTTTGGCTATACACCACCATGTGAAAAGCTGTCCGCTTCAAGGCCGCCAACAAAACTGCTCTCACTTTCAACAGTTTGTTCGATATTGGGCCAGCTTCTCATTGTCTTCTTCTTTCAAGTAAGCCTTATTATTACACCTTTTTATTTGGCATCAGAATTAAAAAAAAAAAAAAAAAAAAACATTAAAACGAAATTCATGGCATGATTCCTGACCCAGAAAGATACTAAAATGGCTTTTTTGCTTACAGTTTTAATCGTTTTGATGTTTTAGCTGCTGATCTTCATTAGCACAGCAGCGCAGCCATGGTTCGCTCCGTATGCGGTGCCAGTTGGTGTTTTGCCTGATGACAAAAAAAGCATGCAGGTTCGTGTACTACGAGTGTTTCTTTTTTTTCGTGTGTGTGTGTGTGTGTGTTCGTTTGTGCAGTTTTTTGGAGATTTGCTGCCCCGAGTGTCAGGGCTTGTAAAAGCATTTTAAAATAATATCGAGCATGTAATGTTTTAATGAGCCCTGTCAACTTCTTTTCCGATGATCTTCCTAGAACTCTACAAAGACCACTTCCACTTACTGATGAAACTAAAGCTGCTTTTAATACGTAGGATGTTCGGGGCGTTGAAAGGCAAAAAAAATTGCTCCGCGAATCACTATTTATGGATTGGAAAAGGCTAAAAAACCGCATAATTCCAATTTTTAAGTTCCCGATTTAGGAGCTTATATTTTTTCTTTTCCATTCAGATATACCAGATCGAGACAGATTTTTAGAAAATTTTTTGAAATGCTTTTTATTTTGTCGCAGAAGGCGAAAAGTGCCTTTTCACCTTCAGCTGACCCTGTGATCATAAATTCCGATTTTTTCCATGTTTTCCTAAAAGCAGGACTCAAAAAGTTTAATTCGCAGCTTCAGCTTCGAGGATGAGAACAGAGCTGTGAGTCGATTCATCTCTAAAAATTTTTCGTGTTTAGCTTACAAAGATGAATTTATGTTCAGGGCACTGCTATATTTTGCCTCTCATCGTTCCAGTACATAACACTGGCTGTTGTGTACAGTAAAGGACCTCCGTTTCGCAAAACCCTATTCAGCAACACTCTTTTTGGCACCTGCTTGGGTTTGTTTTTGTTACGTTTTCTTATAGATTCGCTCTTAGATGGCGGTGATAAAATTATTTGTAAATCATCGTTTTCTTTACTTTCACCTGCAAATTGCGTAAAATTCATTTAATTGGCATAATTTTTTTGCGAAAATCTCAAATCTTTATGACGTTGTGGCGTGGAGCACGGTGAACCTCCACGGTTCTGAATTACGATGGAGCCTGGACATAACAGTTCCTGGTGTGCCGAAAAAAACATCGTAATGCATTTTTGCTGGCGGTTTATGAACTATATGAGATACTTCAAAATCCCAGTTTTTCTGAATCATTTGCCAATTTGGGACTGATGGGTGCTGTAAAGGACAGGGTCTGAGATGAGATCAGTGGTTAAACTGAGCAGATTTTTGTGAATTTTTTTTTCTGGAGAGGATAAAAACCACTGAGATAGATGTTTTCTTCACTGTTGTTCATACCTAGAACAGCCATTAATTGATGATACAAATTTCCAACTATGCAGTGGAGAACTTTTACTTATATTTTCATTAATTTTCATCGAGATAATTCTTTTAAGCGAGGCACGTAGTGGCAAGTCTCTGGATGCATGAGGAGTTGAAAAATAAGGTACTTTAGTTGCCTCATCAGTTGCCTCTGCGTAAATTCTGCTCACTTTGCAATGGTGGGTGTAAGTTCAAGACATCATTCTGTGCGTTGTTTTGGACTGTGGAACTGCCGCTTGCCATAACTTGAATCCTTTTATTTGCATTTCGATGGTATTTAGCGTTGGCATGTCTAGCTTCTGCTAGGAACTTAAATCTCCGCTTGTTTTTGAAGTGCATGGGAACTCGTCTGACATGTTTTACTTTTTGTGAACGAGTACTAGTTTGATCATAGGTAATGACAGCTTACGCTGTTTCTAAAAGTGAATCTGTTTGTGTTTTTTCAGTTGGATATTCTTTTAAAGTGTTCGTTTTCGCAAGCATGCTCTGAAATGCGCTTGAGCAGTGGGTTTTTCAGCTGGCCTGTTGCTGTTATCTCTTTGGATCACCCTAGAACCTCCGACGTTTATAATTGACTTCATGCAGCTTTATCCGCTTCCCGAATACGGCTATAGAATTTTCATTCTCCTTGCTGCCATCAATTACGCTGTTTTCGCTTATTTGTACGAGACAATGGTCATCGAACATCTCATTCTCACTGTTCGCGAAAGGTTGTTTTTTATCGGTTTCCAATACGTCACAACTTTAAAAAGTAACTGATCGTTTTTTTTTTTTTTTTTTTTAATTAGAACATGCCACCAGTTCCTTGTTCGCTCCTCAGTTTCTAATTATTCAGTTGGCGTACAAAATCGAATTTATTTTTAGGTGGCTGAAGAAGCACTGCTATGAAACAGATGCATATTCACTGAATGAGCACGAGAAGATATTACTTTCCATAAGCAGCAGTCCAGCATGGCTTTCGAGCGCTGCCGAAGCGTCGATTCAAAGTTTCGAATTGTATCCTGTCTCATGTACACCAGAATGTGCAGAAAACGGGATACCTGTCCTGGAACAAAGCGCAGGCGAACTACCACTGTCTTAAGGTAATGTTGTGGTGATGTGAGTCATTTCCCAGTTGTGAACAGGAAATGAGACATGAAAAGGGCAGAAGTGATAGTTGATATCCCTAGTAAAACGCGTTGCCGTTTTGTCCATCCCAAACATCAAATGGTTTTTGCTACGCCAAATGATGCCATCGTTTCCATTTTTCAGAAGGATTAAGCTTTGCTTTCAGTCTGCTACATTCATTTTTTTCGATTTTGCATTCTAGCGACTGCTGATCCTTTATTGTTTGCCTTTTTTAATGGCCCAAGCCTGCTTAATCACGCCAACTTTTACCAATTTGTAGTTCCTGGTATCTGTTTAGTAGCTGGATATGTTGTATACCGAAGGCTTACCAGAATCTTCTGAGCGAAATCTGGTTTTACCGACTTCATTGAAATGCGCAGTTGTTTTAGCCTTTTCTTTTCTTTTCTGTTTTGCCCGTCATAATTACAAGTCTACTTTTCTGCTGCACATTGGATGGACTGACCCTGGTGCCCATTGATCAAGCTTTGGTAACGCAGTGCTTCTGCCAAATTCTAAGCCTCCTCCTCCCCCTCTTCATTTCTCACCGTTCCACACTGGCCAGGTTTTTGCCACTAATGGTCCCAGGTAGCACCAAAACTTCTGGTGCGGCCATGTGTTTTTGCTGCTGAAATTTGCCGTTACCGTGCGCGAGGCGCTAGCGTTCGTCAGTGTTGCTGTTGCGTTCCTCCTGCTCCAATAAATCAGGCAGTATTCTTCTTTTTCGCCGCCTGATTACCGAGAAGGTAAAATGGCGGCAGCATTGCAGTTTGAACATTTAATGTCTATGTATGGGACTTTTCTGTGAGTAACATCTCCGAGTCATTAGACTGTTATGGAATTAGACAAAATTACGATTGTGATAATGTTACTTTAGTGGTCTAGTGGAAATATCCCATCCATTCTAATTACCGAAAAAGCAGCATTTTTATAGTCGGATTTTTTGCGAAGGTGAGAAAAATTCAAAAATCTTTAAACATAATTAGACTTAGCACCACTGACTAGCCAGCTTACTTTGTAAAATTAACACCAAAAACTACCATCGCAGTACCAATCTGTTTACACTTTCATTCTTATACGTAAAGATTAGTACTATAAAGATAACATGATCGTAGCACACTGACGACTAATGCTAAGTGTGGCCTTTATCATGGCTTTTCATGCCATTTCGATTCTTATGATTTCCCAGCAAGTTGAAAACAACGGATTTTTGTTGTCAGATAAAAAGCGAACTGATGCGTAGTTTCATTATTTTTTGAATGCGCTGTGAATTGGCCAAAATTTAGCTTCTGCTGCAAAAAATGAAAAAATTTTTATGCCTGGTCGTCGAAAAAAAAAAAATTATCGTTTTACGTTGGATGCAGTCGTACGTTCATGTTTCATACAATGCGTTTTGAGTACAGCTAATTTCAAAATTTTTCAAATTAAGCGGGTTTTTGCAGTCTCATTTTTCTTAAAAATTGTGCTTATTTTCAGTTTTAGAATAATATAGCGCGGTATTTGTTTATCTTTTGCCCGGTGAATTGTTGAACTGCTTGGAAATCACATTATTGGTTTTCTGCTTTTTGCAATATTTAGCTGAATTTTTTTGCAGGCAACTTTTTAATTTGTTTATATCGTTACGACTGTGCCCGCTCCAGTTTAACTTATTTCCATATGTTTCTTGATTTTCAGTGATTGTTATGCGTTTTTGCCATGCAGCGTTAGGGCGCTGCAACAGACAGCAAAAAAGCGTTTTGCGACGACCCTGTCTGTGTGTATGTATGTTCGTGTGTGTATGCACGTGTGCTCTTCTGCCGGGATATTCCTATTCAGCAACCACGCAAGCCTTGGTGTTGAAATATTGCTTCTGTGTTCCCCGGAGTCCATGAATGTGGTATCAACCATACGTTTACGTTTCACATATGGGCGCGTGAAAATTTTGGCAGGAAAATCGCTAACTCGGAAACGAGAAAAGTGAGGAAGTGTAATTTTAGGGAATTGTTCTTTACTCGTGTATGATCAAAAGGTTTCAAATTCAGCTCTCTAACACGTGCGAGTCTCACGTAGAGACGCGTGAAGTTTGTCATGAAAATTAACCCAGGCTGCAACGCACCAGGTTTGCCGATACGCGATTATGTGTTTTTGCGCTAAACTTGCAGGTCGCTAACAGCAGGACTGATTCCTGTGCTATGTTTTGGCCTCTTCTCGCATGCAGGGGGATGGGGTTGGTGGGGTGAAGGTGTTGCTTATAGGGCTGCATGGGCCTCTAGATGCATGATTATCAGTTTTTTATATGAAGCCCGGTCGTTTTTCCGGTGAATGCTTGCCCTTTGAAAAAATGCATATTTGAAGGAAGTCAAAGGAGGATTATGAAATCCGCAAAATGCAGCCTCTTTAGAGTTTGCGATAATAAATATTTTAATAGAGGACTTGCGCCGATGCAGAACTTGGAGTTTTCAAATAGAACATTAATACACAGGGCCCTTCAGAGGCCTCCAGAGAATGTATGCCAACTAATACGTCTAGCCCGGGCGGGTATTATTCAGCTTTTTTTTCTTCAAGTACCAATCTCTTCTATGGAGCAGAGGCTGCTTTGTTGCGCGCGCAGTAACAGTATAACTTTTTATAGTAACCTCAAATTTGGGTTATTAAACCATACAAAATTACAACAAAGTATCACAATCCTAGAAATCTGTATGCGCCCCATACACCCCACCCCCTACTCCTCAACTCACAAAAATTCCCACACTTGGGCCAAGGTAGAAAAGACTGGAAGGGAAGGAGGTACCAGGGAGGGAACCCGGAATATAAGGCATGGGGGGGGGAGAGGTGGGGGAAGTATCAAGGGGGTAGCCGGAAT